CTTCGGACTATAGTGTGGGACGGGTGACTCTCATATTGAAGAACTGTTTTTCTCTTCTTAGGAGCACGAATTGAACGTGGCGAGGAGTTACGGTTTCGATGAAGCTTCCCCAATGAAGGGGACCTACTTTCAGAGCTGGAGAGGGGTCGTTGTGGTGATGAAGTTCCTCGGTATGCAGTGGATGACTGCGACGGAGGTGGGCAGCTCCCCTTCTCACTATTTATGTTCGACGTGTGCATGGTTGCTGCAAAGCATTCGAAGACATTGTTAACGGAAAATCCCACTCTCGCGGAAACCTTCGAACACGCCGACGACAGAGAAAAAAACTTATCCTGATCACGGAACCAAGGTCTTACGGCATGCCGAGCTGAACGCACCAGTACACTTGGCAGTGGCGGCTGAGGATGTTAGTGCTGCAACTGGTCGTTGCAGCTCTTCTCGCATCTGGCTCGCCAGCAGGAACAATAAAGGTGGAGAGCGGCAAACCATACGAGCGACAGGCAGGGACTCGGGTTTCCCGGCCTTCGATGGTCGGCCTCTCATCCCCAAGGCGCCGGACCATGGTATGGTCCGGCATCCGGACCATGGCATGGTCTGGAGCCCCTGAGGCGCCGCACCATCCCATGTTCTGTAGCCCCCGAGGCGCCGGACCATGGTATGGTCCGGCGTCCCCGGGGCGCTGGACCATCCCATGGCCTAGAGCCCCCGAGGCGCCGAACCATTGGATGTCACGGCGTCCCATTGGATGTTTCGGACCATCCCATGGTTGGAGCACCCGAGGCGCACAACCATTGGATAAACTCGCCGTCCCCGCCGCGCTTGGCCAGCTCATGGTCCCGACTCTTCCCTGTTCCAGAGCCACCGAGGCACTGTACCATCCTGGGGACGCTGTGGCTTGGAGCCCCTAAGGCGCGGGACCATTGGATGTTTCGGTGTGCCCGGGGCGCTGCACCACCCCACGGAGCCGCCGAACCATGGTATGGTCCGGCGTCCCCGGGGTGCAGGACTATCCCATGGTATGGTCTGGCGCCCCCGAGGCGCCAGACCATTGGATGGTCCGGCGTCCCAGGGGTGCCGGACCATGCCATGGTCTGGAGCCCCCGAGGCGCCTCACCATCCTATGGTCTGAAGCCCCCATGCGGAGTCCTCCCATGGTATGGTCCGGTGTCCCCGGGGCGCCAGACCATGGCCTGGAGCCCCCGAGGCGCTAAACCATTGGATGTTACGGCGTCCCCCATTGGATGTCTCGGACCATCCCATGGTTGGAGCACCCGAGGTGCTGGACCATTGGATAAACTCGCCATCCCCGTCGCGCTGGGCCAGCTCATGGTCCCGACTCTTCGCTGTTATGGAGCCAACGAGGCGCTGTACCATCCTAGGGACGTTGTGGCCTAGAGCCCCCGAGGCGCCGGACCATTGGATGTTTCGGTGTGCCCGGGGCGCCGCACCACCCCATGGTCTGGGGTCCTCGAGCCGCCGGACCATGGTATGGTCCGGCGTCCCCGGGGCGTCGGACCATCCCGTGCTATGGTCTGGTCCCCGAGGCGTTGAACCCACTAATGGTCTGGTCCCCGGGGCGGCGGACCGTTGGATGTTCCGGCCGTCCCCGTCGCACCGGGCCAACTTATGCAGGAACCCGTGAGACGGCTGACCATTAGATGCTCCGTCACAAACTATGCAATATACATTCTTTATTTTTGCTAGTTTTAATAAGCATCGTGAGGACTTTCCCGATATGTCGTTACTTTTTTTTTTCCCTTTTCTCTTTGTCTTTTTTTTCTTGGAGAATGAAAAATGGGAAAAAAAAAAAACCACGTATACACGCAGGAGGGGAGTGTTATAAGGGGTCCGTGTCCCATACAAATAAACATAACGGTCTGCAAGGCGAACATCGCATCATCAGCACAATGTGTGAGAAGGGGCCCGATCACAGACCAGCAATTACGAAAATTGACGATGATTTTTTTTTCTTCTTCTTTTTTTCGCAAAACATCTCGACCGGCCGTATTTGTGGAGCAGATAGGAGCAACCCCTACGAATAGGACCGATGGCGATGGCTGAAAACTAGTGGTGAGGACCTACACCAGCTGGAAAACCGGGTCTAGCGTCCCGGTTTTGTACACCACACTATTGTTTCATTTGACTAGCAGCGATCCTCCCACCTTCACACCAGTCCGCCTTCTCGATTTCCACCATATCATAACCCTACCTTTGTCCTTAGCATGTACATAACACGGCTGTCCCGGATGACGAGGAGGAGGAGGCGACATAAGAGGACACGAAAGGCGCGACTGCAATAGACAGGTACTGGGGCATACCACACGGATCCACCTACGTAGTACACACTGCAGAATGTATGTCCTGTATCCCGATACCACATGCTTCCAGCCATGGTTGAAAACAATCTGACTATGAAACAGTTTGACAATGTTCCAAGATTGAAGTGGACACTACCTTAAAGCGGAACCTCGCGAGGAGCCAAAGGGATACAACGTGTTCATCGATGATACATGCCTATCTATGCCAAACCATCTAACCATCTATAACATGAAATTTTGTTATATTCAAACTATGCGTGGAACACGTTTGCCTTCATAACTATACAAACCGTGCAGGGGTGAGCCAAATGTGAGCGTTTTCAAACCCTCGGGATTGTCATTGTCGTCCCTATCGAATGATGATATATATGACATCTTCACGAAACTGTGTGTACCAGCGAGAGCTATGCCAATAACATCTCTTATGGTGCATACATTATCCTCTACTTCCTCCACCGACTCTTTCATATTAAATACGACATTGTCACATTCCTCCTCAATCCACATTGCTTCGCATCTTGCCTCTATTAATCTCTCACCCTTGCCTATGCATGCTACACAATTCACTCTACATAAATCGACATCGTTTAAGAAAAGCCTCACAGAGCAATAAGATATGCGTTGATTGGTTGTTCCCGCTTCGTTCCGCACGGGGTAAGTTGTGATTCTGTTGCACAATCTTCCACACCTTTGCAACTCGAGTCCGAACTGTCCGGCCATGTGCGAGGTGATGTTGTTACGAACTTGCATTAGATTGCTCTATCGTGCTCGCAACACTCTTGGCTTGTAATAGATACATGAGGGTCAAAACTATCCTGGTGGTCGTACATCCAATGTATGTTCACGTAGTTCAGTATATACGCTGTCTGGAGGGAGGCAAGACATATTTCGATGTGTCGTCCCCATTCCATCTTGTTGGCAAATCTGAAGTCCTGCGCCCATGGACATTCTATCATTGCAGTATCCCAATCGCTCTCGCTCCAGTTCCCAACTCTTCCTCGCCATGGCAACACGCTCAACCATGGATCGACTCGAACTGCCTCGACAATCCTCAATTTTGTTTTCTCATCCAATCGTCGATGACGGTTAATGTCGCCGGTATCCATCGCACCGCTTGAAAGATCACGTAAAGCAACTTCTGTATATAACACATACACTGCTATCAGCATGTTTGCGAGGAACGTAGAAAATATGTTACGCCATTGCGGTCGTGCGCCACAGTCGGGTCGCCCAACTCTCTCGTCGAGCATTCCCCTTTATGGTCTGGTGGTTTCGGGACCCCGGACCCCAGACCATGTCACGGCACGGCCCAACTCTCTCGCCAATGCAGCATCATGTCACGACATGGTCCCACTGTGCAATGGTCCAGCATGGTCCTGCATTGAGGCGGGTCCTACCGTACAATGGTCCTGCATTGAGGCGGGTCCTACCATGCAATGGTCCTGCGTTGAGGCGGGTCTTACCGTGCAATGGTCTAGTATGGTTCCGCATTGAGTCGGGGAGAGCAGGTTAACCGAGCACCCATTTATAAGAAAACCAAAGGCCCATTTTAACAATACTTCACACCAATCTATAGAGTGCACTTCTTACTACGTCATCACAGAAAAATCGGGTAACGCCGTGCAACGAGCCTTGCACTGTCAAGGTCGTGCATCCTTCTTCGTAACATAGTGAACGGCGGACCATAGCATGACATGGCACGGTCCTTCAGCCCTAGGGATGCCATGCACTGACACGGTCCTCCATCCCGGGTCCTGCAGCGCGGCTCCCAGCATTCTAGCGCACGGTCTTTCATCCCTGGCACTGTCGTGCAATTGAACGGCCTAGCATCCTGACCTTATGTTGCATTGGCACGGCCCTTCAGCCCGCGCATCGCGATGCGATGATCCGATCTAGGAATGGCACGTGGCAGCGGACCATTCCCCGGTATGGTCCGGTGGCTCCGGGACCCCGGACCATATCGCGGCATGGTCCGACGCCGCCAGAACGCCGGACCATGACCTGCCATGTTCCATCATGGCATGGCATCGTGTGGACCTTCCCATCATGTCATGGCATGCCATGTCGGGTCCAGTATCCCGGAGACATGTTCATCATGCCATGGCATGGCATCGCCTGGACCTTGCTATCATGGCATGGCATGACGGCAAGGTCCAGTCTCCCGGAGCCGTGTTCATCATGCCATGGCATGGCATCTTCTGGACCTTACGATCATGCCATGGGAAGATGGCATGATGGCAAGGGGCGTCATGCCATCATGCCATGGCATGGCATGGCTATGTTCCATCATGGCATGGCATCGTCTGGACCTTGCCATCATGCCATGGCATGGCATGGCTATGTTCCATCATGCCATGGCATGGTCTGGACCTTGCCATCATGCCATAGCATGCCATGTCGGTCCAATATCCCGGAGCCGTATTCATCATGTCATGACATGGCATCGTCTGGACCTTGCCATCATGGCATGGCATGATGGCAAGGCCCAGTCTCCTTGCGCCGTGTTCATCATGCCATGGCATGGCATCGTCTGGACCTTGCGATCATGCCATGGCACGATGGCATGATGGCAACGGGCATCATGCCATCCTTCCATGGCATCGTCTGGACCTTGCCATCATGCCATGGCATGCCATGTCGGTCCAGTATCCCGGAGCCGTGTTCATCATGCCATGGCATGGCATAGTCTGGACCTTGCCATCATGCCGGTCCAGTTTCCTTCAGCTGTGTTCATCATGCCATGGCATGGCATCGTCTGGACCTTGGGATCATGCCATGGCAAGGTGGCATGATGGCAAGGGGCACCATGCCATCCTGTCATGGCATGGCATGGCTATGTTCCATCATGGCATGACATCGTCTGGACCTTGCCATCATGCCTTGGCATGCCATGTCGGGTGCAGTATCCCGGCGCCGTGTTCATAATGCCATGGCATGGCATCGTTTGGACCTTGATGGGAAGGGGCATCATGCCATCATACCATCGTGGCATGCCATGGCCTCGCCATGTTCCATCATGGCATGGCATCGTGTGGACCTTGCCATCATGCCATGGCATGCCATGTCGGATCCAGTCTCCCGGAGCCGCCGGACCTTGCCATCATGCCATGGCTTGGCCCGGCGTCGCAGAGACGGCAGACCATGCCATGGGATGTTCCGGCGTCCCGGAGCAGCCGGACCATGCCATGCTATTGTCTGCCGTTGTGGAGGCGTCGGACCATAGAATGGCATGGTCCGGCGTCCCGGAGCCACCAGACCATGTCATGCTATGGTCTGGCCTCGCGGAGGCGTCGGACCATAGGACGGCATGGTCCGGCGTTCCGGAGCCGCCGGACCGTGCCATGCTATGGTCTGGCGTCACGGAGGCCCCACACCATACAATGGCATGGTCCGGCATCCCGGAGCCGCCAGACGATGCCATGCTATGGTCTGGCGTCGTGGAGGCGTCGGACCATACGATGGCATGGTCCGGAGTCTCGGAGCCACCGGAGCATGGCACAGTATGGTCTCGCGTCGTGGAGGCGTCGGGCCATACCATGGCATGATCCGGAGTCCCGGAGCCGCCGGACCATGCCGTGGCATGGTCCGCCCTTCCGGCGGCTACGAACCATATCATGGCACGGCCCGCCGTTCACCGTCCCGAAACGTCGTGCATATGCCATTAGGTCTTGCGTGGCGCCTTTGGGACACCTGCCCACACCATTGCACGGTTCCCCTTGGCACGAAGGGAAAGAAAACGTGGACGTGGAACGACGGTAGGTAGATACACAGCACCCCTTCGAGAACAAAACATTTCCTTCCAACGAATGGAAAAGAACGCTGATGTGGAACGGCGAAAGCTTCATAATGTCATGGAATCAAACGGTCACCCCGCCTTTTTTCCAAAAAAAAAGGACCTGCCGAACACTAACATAAAAAAATCAATGACTTTTAAAAAAAACAAAAGACCTTTCCCCCCGCAAAAAATATCTTCCGAGCTACAAAAAGGTCGTTGAGGAGGGAGGGAGGGCCTTGCACTGAGGGACGTAAAAGTGAGTAGTACTGTGTAAAAGTGAGGGAGGGATGGAGGGCCTTGAGGGAAGGAGGGAGGGCCTTCAGGGGCGTATAAGTTCGGGAGGGATGGAGGGTTGTTCGACAAGTCCTATGTACAGGACAGGCGTGCAGGAGGACCGATGCCTTGAGGGGCTTAAATGTGGCGGGTGAATAAACCTCACCTTCTCGAAGGTGACGACACCTTTGTGTCCGCCTGATGCCGCGCGAAGGCCCCTGAACAACTGCTGAGGTTCGCAGGCAGCCTGTTTGCTGTTCAAAAGGCTGCTCGAAGGCGCCTGGGATGGGAGGACGTAGCGTGCAAATGCGCCCAGAGAGGGCTCACAGCTGTTCGAAGGCACTGTGAAAACGCGGGAGGCGGAGGCGCTGTTTGAAGGTGTTGTTGCAAGAAATGGGCACCGTCACGTGTAGCTAGCAGTGGCGCGCACACAGCTCGCAATGTCGCACGCACAGTTCGGAGTGGCGCACTTGCAGCTCGCAACACCGCAAGCTCAGCTCGCAATGGCCCAAACGTAGCTCGGAATGGCGCTTCGTCGGGCTCAAGTTTTCGCGCGAATGCGAAATGCGAAATGAGCACGCCGGCGGGGGTTAGGGTGCTTTTTCCTTCCCCGTGGAGCCCCGCGTCGCGTTGATTATTGCCTTCGCACGACACGAAAATAGGAAGTTGCCGGGCCTCGTTTTCCGTCGGAACAGGCCTCGCTTCGGGTGTGCACGTGGACCCAAAAAGGTGCGCTGTGCAGGTCTCGTTTCAGGCCGGGCCTTTTTTGTTCGTTTCGGGCCTCGCCCTGTTTCCCTTTGGTACCGCCCCAGCTTTTCGCGCAGTTGGTACCGGGCTGCATTTTTGGTCGGCGCTGTGAGGCCGGCGCCGATTGTTGTCGACGACAACGAAGCTGGGCATGGGGAATCGCGGAGGCCACTGCAAACGTGCACACAGTTCAGCCATCCTGCGTTTCCCCTCTGCTGCCTCAATCGACGTGGACCGTTCTATGCCAGCGCCTGCCTTTCGCAGAGGTATGACGCCAAACCGTCTCCTCTTCCCTCCCTCCCTAACCCCGTTCCCTTTTTTTTTTTTTTTTTTTCCCTTTCAATCGACAATGGAAATGGTTGACAGGTGGGCGGTGAGCGCCACTACAAGGAGGAGGCAATAGGAGAGGAGGAGTAGGGGGGAAGAGGAGGGATGAGGCGGACATGGATGAGGTGGTGGCAAAGGGTGGTAGGACGAGGAGGGCGAGGAGCGATGCCCAATATCGAAATAGATAAGTTACTTATTTTTCGTTTTTTTTTTTTTTTTTTTTTTTTTTTATAGACTTGCATTGATTGATTGAATGATTATTTGATTGATTGATTGATTGGTTGATTGATTGATTAATTGGCTCGCATTGATTGATCGATTGATTGATCGATTGATTGATTGATTGATTGATTGATTGATTGATTTATTGATTGATTGATTGGATCTTGATTTAGAAATCAAGACTCCATCGAATCGAGTGATGGGCAATATTGAAATCGGTTTGTTACTTTTTTTTATCTTTTTCTATTTCATTGATTGATTGATTGATTGATTGGCTCAGATTGTCCAACTGAATCGATCGATTCGATTGGATCTTGAAATCAATATCCAATCGAAGCAATCGATTCGATCGGGAACTTCCGTTTCGGCTTTTTTTTTTTTTTTAAGGAGGGCAACGACTGAAAGAAGGAAAGGGCCGAGAAGGAGGAGGCAGAGGGGGAGGACGACAAGGAGAAGGTGGAGGAGGAGGAGGAAGAGGAGGAAGATCAGGAGGACAGGGATGAGGAGGAGCATGCGAGGAGGAGGAGGAGGCGAGGAGGAGGAGCATGCGAGGAGGAGGAGGACCGGCAGGCGAGGAGGAGGAGCAGGCGAGGAGGATGAGGAGGCGAGGAGGAGGAGCATGCGAGGAGGAGGAGCATGCGAGGAGGAGGAGGAGCATGCGAGGAGGAGGAGCATGCGAGGAGGAGCAGGCGAGGATTGATTGATTGATTGACATTGATTGGTTGATTGATTGATTGATTGATTGATTGATTGATTGATGGATTGATTGTTCGATTGGTTGACTCGCAATCAATCAATCAATAAAAAACGGGGATAAAGTATCCAATCGATTGGATCTTGATTTAGAAATCAAGATCCCATTGAATCGAGTGGTGGGCAATATCGAAATCGGTTTGTTACTTTTTTTTATCTTTTTCTATTTCGTTGATTGATTGATTGATTGATTGGCTCGGATTGTCCAACCGAATCGATCGATTCGATGGGATCTTAAAATCAATGTCCAATCGAAGCAATCGATTCGATCGGGAACTTCAGTTTCAACTTCTTTTTTTTTTTTAAAGGAGGGCACCGACCGGGAGAAGGAAAGGGCCGAGGAGGAGGAGGCAGAGGGGGAGGATGACGAGGAGGAGTAGGAGGAGGAGGAAGAGGAGGAAGATCAGGAGGAGAGGGATGAGGAGGAGAATGCGAGGAGGAGGAGGAGGCGAGGAGGAGGAGGAGACGAGAAGGAGGAGCATGCGAGGATGAGGAGGAACAACAGGCGAGAAGAAGGAGCAGGCGAGGACGAGGAGGAGGCGAGGAGGAGGAACATGCGAGGAGGAGGAGCATGTGAGGAGGAGGAGGAGGCAAGGAGGAGGAGCATGCGAGGAGGAGGAGCTTGCGAGGAGGAGCATGCGAAAAGGAGGAGCATGCGAGCAGGAGGAGCATGCGAATAGGAGGAGCTGGCGAGGAGGATCAGGCTATGATTGATTGATTGATTGACACTGCAACACTGACGAACGTTGGGGCAGATGGGCAAGCAACTGCTGCCACAACATGTACAGCGGGATACGAACCCTTCCTTACATGCCACAACAACAGTGGGACGCAACAGCGGCAACAAACGACGCCAAACCATCCGGTGGTCTGGCGCCTCGACGACGCTGGACCATCTGATGGTCTGGTGCCTTAACGATGCCGCACCATCGGGAGGGGCAGCAACACTAGGGACCCAGCAGAGGGACCCAGCATCAGAGGGACCACAGGAACACTGACGAACATTGGGGTAGATGCGCCAGCAACTGCTTACAGAGCATGTACAGCGGGACACGAACCCTTACTTACATGCCACAGCAACAGTGGGATGCAGCAACGGTAGAAGCTGCTGTGCCGAAAGCCTGGATAGTCCAGCGCCTTGACAACGCCGGACCATCGGAGGGCCAACATCAGCACGGACCCAGTAGAGGGACCCAGCATCAGAAGGACCGTAGCAACAACGACGAACATTGGGGCAGCAGGGAAGATAGGGGCACAACAGCGTCAGCAGCTGCTATGCCGAAAGCCTGGATGGTCCGGCGCCTCGACGACGCCGGACCATCTGATGGTCTGGCGCCTTGACGAGGCCGGACCATCCGGTGGTCTGGCGCCTCGACGCCGCCGGGCCATCTGATGGTCTGGCGCCTTGACGACGACGCACCATCGGGAGGGACAACATCAGTAGGGACGCAGCAGAGGGACCCAACATCAGAGGGACCACAACAACAGTAACGAACATTGGGGCAATGTAAGGAAGATAGGGACCCAGCATCACAGGGCCAGCATCAGTCGGGACCCAGTAGAGGGACCCAACATCAGAACGACCGTAGCAACACTGACGAACATTGGGGTAGCAAGGAAGATAGGGGCACAACAGCGTCAACAACTGTTGTGCCGAAAGCCTGGATGGTCCGGCGCCTTGACGACGCTGGACCATCTGATGGTCTGGCGCCTTGACGACGCCGCACCATCGGGAGGGGCAGCAACAGTAGGGATCCAACAGAGGGACCCAACATCAGAGTGACCACAGCAACACTGACGAACATTGTGGCAGATGCGCCAGAACTGTTGCCACAACATGTACAGCAGGACACGAACCCTTGCTTACATGCGATAACAACAGTGGGACGCAGCAGCAGCAGCAGCTGCTAGGCCGAAAGCCTGGATGGTCCGGCGCCTTGACGACGCCGGACCGTCAGAGGGCCAGCATCAGCACGGACCCAGCAGAGGGACCCAACATCATAAGGACCGCAGCAACACTGATGGACATTGGGGCAGCAAGGAAGATAGGGGCACAGCAGCGTCAGCAGCTGTTGTGCCGAAAGCCTCGATGGTCCGGCGCCTTGACGACGCCGGACCATCCGTTGGTCTGGCGCCTTCATTACGCCAGACCATCCGGTGGTCTGGCGCCTTAACGATGCCGCACCATCGGAAAGGGCAACAACAGTAGGGACCCAGCAGAGGGACCCAGCATCAGAGGGACCACAACAACATTGACGAACATTCGGGCAGATGGGCCAGCAATTGTTGCCAGAGCATTTACAGCGGGATACGAACCCTTGCTTACATGCCACAGCAACAGTGGCACGCAGCAGCGTCAGCAGCTGATGTGCCAAAAGCCTGGATGGTCCGATGCCTCGACGACGCCGGACCATCTGATGGTCTGGCGCCTTGACGATGCCGCACCATCGGGAGGGGCAGCAACATTAGGGACCCAGCAGAGGGACCCAGCATTAGAGGGACCACAGCAACACTGACGAACATTGGGGCAGATGGGCCAGCAACTTCTGCCAGGACACGAACCCTTGCTTACATGCCACAACAACAGTGGGACGCAGCAGCGACAGCAGACGACGCTGGACCATCCGGTGGTCTGGCGCCTCGACGACGCCGGACCATCTGATGGTCTGGCGCCTTGACGACGACGCACCATCGGGAGGGGCAGCAACAGTAGGGACCCAGCAGAGGGACCCAGCATTAGAGGGACCACAGCAACACTGATGAGCATTGGGGCAGATG